TTCCCTAACTCAAACTCCCTGCTTTAGCCTTGCTCAGGGATGTCGATGATCTCTTGATCTGTGGTCCCCGAAACTGAACGTACCACTCTGGATGTGGTCTGATGTCGAGTACAAAGGGGCAGTTTCCTCCAGGATCAGGATAATCTTCTGATACTATTGACTCTTAACAGTGCATTTTCTTTCGCAGCCATATTATCATCCTGCTGGGCTTATACACACGTGTGGTCACTTAAAGCCCAAAGTTTATACACGTATGAATTTCTGTGAAGGCAGGTGTCCCCAGTCTTGAACTGATGGGATTAATGTTTTTCAGCCTAAATACAAAACATTATTTCTACCAAGTTTTACTTTGTGCATTTTGGCCCATATTTCCAGGCTGCTAAAATATTCTGGATTTTGATTCAGTTATATAACATGTTAGGTACTCCAGTTTTGTGCAATAAATATACCTTAAATGTATGCCGTCTATGTCTGTGTCTTTGTAAGGTTATTTCTGAGTTTTGTCTTTATTTTTTCAGTTCTGAATTTCGTCCAGTCTTTTTTTCCCTTCCTTCATATAGTTTTTTTTAATTGATGTATAGTCAATTTACATTACTGTGTTAGTTTCTGATGTATGGCACAGTGACTCAGCCATATATATATATTCCTTTTCATATTCTTTTTCACTATAGGCTATTACAAAGGTATTGAAGGTAGTTCCCTGTGCTGAATTTTATTCACTCTTATAAGTAAATTATTAACTCACATCTCAAAATAACAGTCCTACATAAGCTTGTTATACTGAGCTGCACAAGTGCTAACACCATGGTAAAGAAAACAGATTCTAAGTCATTAGACAAATGACAAAATGGGGGAAAATACTTAGAACTGATATCATAAAAGAAGGCTTAATCATTCTAATTTACAAAAAAAATCCTAAAAAACAGAAAAAGATGAAAAAAATAGAAAAGTGGGTAAAAGATGTTTTAAAAAATTGTAACTATGTGATGATGGATGTTAACTAAACTTACAGTGGTAAATCATTTCTCAACATATACATATATCAAACCATTATGTTGTACATCTTAAACTTATAACAATGTTATGTACCAATAAAACTGGAAAAAAAAAAGACAAAGAGAGTTCACAGAAAAAGAGAAACCGATTGTAGTGAAACATATGGAATGATGCCCCATTTCATTCAAAATAAGAGAAATGCACATTAAAACTACACTGAGATACCACTTCTTTCTTGCAGGCCAGTAACAATTAAAAAGCTTGGCGGCACTCTGCTGGTGAGGCTGTGAGGAAGCAGGCATTCTTCCATTCTCCACACCGGCACGGGGAACGCCAAGTGTAGCAGCCCTGGGGAGGGGGATTTGGCAACACCTAACAAAACCACATATGCACGTACTCTTTGACCAAGCGATTCCATTTCTAGTATTCACCCTGAAGATACAAGTTCGTAATATAAAGTAATAGATGCACAGGTTATTTCATTCACTGAGGCACCAGTTAGTTTAAAAAAGGAAATATGTGAAAGAAGCGGGGTAAATCAGAACACACATAAATATACATAAATACATTTACTTACGCAAAAAGCAAAACAGGAAAGATCACCAGAAACTAAGCTACAGATAGAAGTAGATTTCTCTAAGTAATTTTTCACAATTTTGATTTTTGAATCATGTAAATGTTTTATATACTAAAAAAATTAAAGATGTA